CTCTCAGTGTCTGTGATCGAACCCACGACCTCCTGTACACCAGGCGAGGTAGTCAACATCTCTCAGTGTCTGTGATTGAACCCACGACCTCCTGTGTACCATGCGAGGTAATCAACATCTCTGTGTCTGGAATTGAACCCACGACCTCCTGCGTATCTGGCGAGGTAGTCAACATCTCTCAGGGTCTGGGATTGAACCCACGACCTCCTGTGTACCAGGCGAGGTAGTCAACATCTCTCAGGGTCCGGGATCGAACCCACGACCTCCTGTGTACCAGGCGAGGTAGTCAACATCTCTCAGTGTCTGGGATTGAACCCACGACCTCCTGCGTACCAGGCGAGGTAGTCAACATCTCTCAGTGTCTGGGATTGAACCCACGACCTCCTGCGTACCAGGCGAGGTAGTCAACATCTCTCAGTGTCTGGGATTGAACCCACGACCTCCTGTGTACCATGCGAGGTAGTCAACATCTCTCAGTGTCTGGGATCGAACCCACGACCTCCTGCGTACCAGGCGAGGTAGTCAACATCTCTCAGTGTCTGGGGTTGAACCCACGACCTCCTGCGTACCAGGCGAGGTAGTCAACATCTCTCAGTGTCTGGGACTGAACCCACGACCTCCTGCGTACCAAGCGAGGTAGTCAACATCTCTCAGGTGTCTGTGATCGAATCCACGACCTCCTGTGTACCAGGCGAGGTAGTCAACATCTCTCAGTGTCTGGGACTGAACCCACGACCTCCTGCGTACCAGGCGAGGTAGTCAACATCTCTCAGTGTCTGGGACTGAACCCACGACCTCCTGCGTACCAGGCGAGGTAGTCAACATCTCTCAGGTGTCTGTGATTGAATCCACGACCTCCTGTGTACCAGGCGAGGTAGTCAACATCTCTCAGTGTCTGGGACTGAACCCACGATCTCCTGCGTACCAGGCGAGGTAGTCAACATCTCTCAGTGTCTGGGACTGAACCCACGACCTCCTGCGTACCAGGCGAGGTAGTCAACATCTCTCAGGTGTCTGTGATCGAATCCACGACCTCCTGTGTACCAGGCGAGGTAGTCAACATCTCTCAGTGTCTGGGATCGTACCCACGACCTCCTGTGTACCAGGCGAGGTAGTCAACATCTCTCAGTGTCTGGGACTGAACCCACGACCTCCTGCGTACCAGGCGAGGTAGTCAACATCTCTCAGTGTCTGAGACTGAACCCACGACCTCATGCGTACCAGGCGAGGTAGTCAACATCTCTCAGGTGTCTGTGATCGAATCCACGACCTCCTGTGTACCAGGCGAGGTAGTCAACATCTCTCAGTGTCTGGGATCGTACCCACGACCTCCTGTGTACCAGGCGAGGTAGTCAACATCTCTCAGGTGTCTGGGATCGTACCCACGACCTCCTGTGTACCAAGCGAGGTAGTCAACATCTCTCAGTGTCTGGGGTTGAACCCATGACCTCCTGCGTACCAGGCGAGGTAGTCAACATCTCTCAGTGTCTGGGATTGAACCCACGACCTCCTGTGTACCATGCGAGGTAGTCAACATCTCTCAGTGTCTGGGATCGAACCCACGACCTCCTGCGTACCAGGCGAGGTAGTCAACATCTCTCAGTGTCTGGGATTGAACCCACGACCTCCTGTATACCATGCGAGGTAGTCAACATCTCTCAGTGTCTGGGATTGAACCCACGAACTCCTGTGTACCAGGCGAGGTAGTCAACATCTCTCAGTGTCTGGGATTGAACCCACGACCTCCTGTATACCAGGCGAGGTTGTCAACATCTCACTGTTTGGGATTGAACCCACGACCTCCAGCGTACCAGGCGAGGTAGTCAACATCTCTCAGTGTCTGGAATTGAACCCACGACCTCCTGCGTATCTGGCGAGGTAGTCAACATCTCTCAGTGTCTGGGATTGAACCCACGACCTCCTGTATACCAGGCGAGGTTGTCAACATCTCACTGTTTGGGATTGAACCCACGACCTCCAGCGTACCAGGCGAGGTAGTCAACATCTCTCAGGGTCTGGGATTGAACCCACGACCTCATGCGTACCAGGGGAGGTAGTCAACATCTCTCAGGGTACGGGATCGAACCCACGACCTCCTGCAGACCAGGCGAGGTAGTCAACATCTCTCAGGGTCTGGGATTGAACCCACGACCTCCTGTGTACCAGGCGAGGTGGTCAACATCTCTCAGGTGTCTGGGATTGAACCCACGACCTCCTGCGTACCACGCGAGGTAGTCAACATCTCTCAGTGTCTGTGATCGAACCCACGACCTCCTGTACACCAGGCGAGGTAGTCAACATCTCTGTGTCTGGAATTGAACCCACGACCTCCTGTGTACCAGGCGAGGTAGTCAACATCTCTCAGTGTCTGTGATTGAACCCACGACCTCCTGTGTACCATGCGAGGTAATCAACATCTCTGTGTCTGGAATTGAACCCACGACCTCCTGCGTATCTGGCGAGGTAGTCAACATCTCTCAGGGTCTGGGATTGAACCCACGACCTCCTGTGTACCAGGCGAGGTAGTCAACATCTCTCAGGGTCCGGGATCGAACCCACGACCTCCTGTGTACCAGGCGAGGTAGTCAACATCTCTCAGTGTCTGGGATTGAACCCACGACCTCCTGCGTACCAGGCGAGGTAGTCAACATCTCTCAGTGTCTGGGATTGAACCCACGACCTCCTGCGTACCAGGCGAGGTAGTCAACATCTCTCAGTGTCTGGGATTGAACCCACGACCTCCTGTGTACCATGCGAGGTAGTCAACATCTCTCAGTGTCTGGGATCGAACCCACGACCTCCTGCGTACCAGGCGAGGTAGTCAACATCTCTCAGTGTCTGGGGTTGAACCCACGACCTCCTGCGTACCAGGCGAGGTAGTCAACATCTCTCAGTGTCTGGGACTGAACCCACGACCTCCTGCGTACCAAGCGAGGTAGTCAACATCTCTCAGGTGTCTGTGATCGAATCCACGACCTCCTGTGTACCAGGCGAGGTAGTCAACATCTCTCAGTGTCTGGGACTGAACCCACGACCTCCTGCGTACCAGGCGAGGTAGTCAACATCTCTCAGTGTCTGGGACTGAACCCACGACCTCCTGCGTACCAGGCGAGGTAGTCAACATCTCTCAGGTGTCTGTGATTGAATCCACGACCTCCTGTGTACCAGGCGAGGTAGTCAACATCTCTCAGTGTCTGGGACTGAACCCACGATCTCCTGCGTACCAGGCGAGGTAGTCAACATCTCTCAGTGTCTGGGACTGAACCCACGACCTCCTGCGTACCAGGCGAGGTAGTCAACATCTCTCAGGTGTCTGTGATCGAATCCACGACCTCCTGTGTACCAGGCGAGGTAGTCAACATCTCTCAGTGTCTGGGATCGTACCCACGACCTCCTGTGTACCAGGCGAGGTAGTCAACATCTCTCAGTGTCTGGGACTGAACCCACGACCTCCTGCGTACCAGGCGAGGTAGTCAACATCTCTCAGTGTCTGAGACTGAACCCACGACCTCATGCGTACCAGGCGAGGTAGTCAACATCTCTCAGGTGTCTGTGATCGAATCCACGACCTCCTGTGTACCAGGCGAGGTAGTCAACATCTCTCAGTGTCTGGGATCGTACCCACGACCTCCTGTGTACCAGGCGAGGTAGTCAACATCTCTCAGGTGTCTGGGATCGTACCCACGACCTCCTGTGTACCAAGCGAGGTAGTCAACATCTCTCAGTGTCTGGGGTTGAACCCATGACCTCCTGCGTACCAGGCGAGGTAGTCAACATCTCTCAGTGTCTGGGATTGAACCCACGACCTCCTGTGTACCATGCGAGGTAGTCAACATCTCTCAGTGTCTGGGATTGAACCCACGACCTCCTGCGTACCAGGCGAGGTAGTCAACATCTCTCAGTGTCTGGGATTGAACCCACGACCTCCTGTATACCATGCGAGGTAGTCAACATCTCTCAGTGTCTGGGATTGAACCCACGAACTCCTGTGTACCAGGCGAGGTAGTCAACATCTCTCAGTGTCTGGGATTGAACCCACGACCTCCTGTGCACCAGGCGAGGTAGTCAACATCTCTCAGGTGTCTGTGATCGAACCCACGACCTCCTGTATACCAGGCGAGGTAGTCAACATCTCTCAGTGTCGGTGATTGAACCCACGACCTCCTGTATACCAGGCGAGGTTGTCAACATCTCTCAGTGTCTGGGATTGAACCCACGACCTCCTGTGTACCAGGCGAGGTAGTCAACATCTCTCAGTGTCTGTGATCGAACCCACGACCACCTGTGTACCAGGCGAGGTAGTCAACATCTCTCAGGTGTCTGTGATCGAACCCACGACCTCCTGTACACCAGGCGAGGTGGTCAACATCTCTCAGTGTCTGGGATCGAACCCACGACCTCCTGCGTACCAGGCGAGGTGGTCAACATCTCTCAGTGTCTGGGATTGAACCCACGACCTCCTGTGTACCAGGCGAGGTAGTCAACATCTCTCAGGTGTCTGTGATCGAACCCACGACCTCCTGTGTACCAGGCGAGGTGGTCAACATCTCTCAGGTGTCTGTGATCGTACCCACGACCTCCTGTGTACCAGGCGAGGTAGTCAACATCTCTCAGTGTCTGGGATCGTACCCACGACCTCCTGTGTACCAGGCGAGGTAGTCAACATCTCTCAGTGTCTGGGATCGAACCCACGACCTCCTGTGCACCAGGCGAGGTGGTCAACATCTCTCAGTGTCTGGGGTTGAACCCACGACCTCCTGTGCACCAGGCGAGGTAGTCAACATCTCTCAGTGTCTGGGATTGAACCCACGACCTCCTGTGTACCAGGCGAGGTAGTCAACATCTCTCAGTGTCTGGGGTTGAACCCACGACCTCCTGTGTACCAGGCGAGGTAGTCAACATCTCTCAGTGTCTGGGACTGAACCCACGACCTCCTGCATACCAGGCGAGGTAGTCAACATCTCTCAGTGTCTGGGGTTGAACCCGGGGCTCCACCTCACCTTCGTGTCTCCTAGCCGCCCCTCAGTAGACGAAGAGCAGGCGGGCGCGGGACAGCGATGCCAGTTCGTCCGACATCTTGCGAACCTTCAGATAGTTGAGGAACCCTCGGAGGAAGAGAAGCAGCCCTGGAGGACGACACAAAGACAAAGGTCCCACGCCAGCCCCGGGTAGCCTCTTAGCAACCGGCTGAAGGGGGCAAGTGGTGCGAGTGAGCGAGCAGCAGCAACAACAACAACAGCAGCAGCAACAACATCAACAACAACAGCAACATCAACAACACAACAACATCAACAACAGCAACATCAACAACACAACAACATCAACAACACAACAACAACAACACCAACAACAACAACACCAACAACACCAACAACAACATCAACAACAACAACAACACAACAACAACACAACAACAGCAACAACAACATCAACAACAGTAGCAACAACAGCAACAGCAGCAGCGTCGTCTGTGAAGGCTGCCGTCACTGTACCCCACACAGCGGGTGAGGGTGAGTGGGTGGGTGAGTGGGTGGGTGAGTGGGTGGGTGAGTGGGTGGGTGAGTGGGTGGGTGAGTGAGTGGGTGAATGGGTGGGTGGGTGAGTGAGTGGGTGAGTGAGTGGGTGAGTGGGTGGGTGAGTGGGTGGGTGAGTGAGTGGGTGAGTGAGTGGGTGAGTGGGTGAGTGAGTGAGTGGGTGGGTGAGTGAGTGAGTGGGTGAGTGGGTGAGTGAGTGAGTGAGTGGGTGAGTGAGTGAGTGTGTGGGTGAGTGAGTGAGTGTGTGGGTGAGTGAGTGAGTGTGTGGGTGAGTGAGTGAGTGAGTGGGTGAGTGAGTGGGTGAGTGGGTGAGTGAGTGGGTGAGTGAGTGAGTGAGTGGGTGAGTGAGTGGGTGAGTGAGTGGGTGAGTGAGTGGGTGAGTGGGTGAGTGAGTGAGTGTGTGAGTGAGTGAGTGGGTGAGTGAGTGGGTGAGTGAGTGAGTGGGTGAGTGAGTGGGTGAGTGAGTGGGTGAGTGGGTGAGTGAGTGAGTGGGTGAGTGAGTGGGTGAGTGGGTGAGTGAGTGTGTGGGTGAGTGAGTGAGTGAGTGGGTGAGTGAGTGAGTGAGTGGGTGAGTGAGTGGGTGAGTGAGTGAGGTGGGTGAGTGGGTGGGTGAGTGGGTGAGTGAGTGAGTGGGTGAGTGGGTGAGTGAGTGGGTGAGTGGGTGAGTGAGTGGGTGGGTGAGTGGGTGAATGAGTGAATGAGTGGGTGAGTGAGTGAGTGTGTGGGTGAGTGAGTGAGTGTGTGGGTGAGTGAGTGAATGAGTGGGTGAGTGGGTGAGTGTGTGAGTGAGTGGGTGAGTGGGTGAGTGGGTGAGTGAGTGTGTGGGTGAGTGAGTGAGTGGGTGAGTGAGTGAGTGGGTGAGTGAGTGAGTGAGTGGGTGAGTGAGTGAGTGAGTGGGTGGGTGAGTGAGTGGGTGAGTGAGTGAGTGAGTGGGTGAGTGGGTGAGTGAGTGAGTGAGTGGGTGAGTGGGTGACTGGGTGAGTGAGTGAGTGGGTGGGTGGGTGGGTGAGTGGGTGGGTGAGTGAGTGGGTGGGTGAGTGGGTGGGTGAGTGAGTGGGTGAGTGGGTGGGTGAGTGGGTGGGTGAGTGGGTGGGTGAGTGAGTGGGTGAGTGGGTGGGTGAGTGAGTGGGTGAGTGAGTGGGTGAGTGAGTGGGTGAGTGGGTGAGTGGGTGGGTGAGTGAGTGGGTGAGTGAGTGGGTGAGTGGGTGAGTGAGTGAGTGGGTGGGTGAGTGAGTGAGTGGGTGGGTGAGTGGGTGAGTGAGTGAGTGAGTGGGTGAGTGAGTGAGTGTGTGGGTGAGTGAGTGTGTGGGTGAGTGAGTGAGTGGGTGAGTGAGTGGGTGAGTGGGTGAGTGAGTGGGTGAGTGAGTGGGTGAGTGAGTGAGTGAGTGTGTGAGTGAGTGGGTGAGTGAGTGGGTGAGTGAGTGGGTGAGTGGGTGAGTGAGTGGGTGAGTGAGTGGGTGAGTGAGTGGGTGAGTGAGTGGGTGAGTGAGTGGGTGAGTGGGTGAGTGAGTGAGTGGGTGAGTGAGTGGGTGAGTGGGTGAGTGAGTGAGTGAGTGGGTGAGTGAGTGGGTGAGTGAGTGGGTGAGTGAGTGAGTGAGTGGGTGAGTGGGTGGGTGAGTGGGTGAGTGAGTGGGTGGGTGAGTGGGTGAGTGAGTGGGTGAGTGGGTGAGTGAGTGGGTGGGTGAGTGGGTGAATGAGTGAATGAGTGGGTGAGTGAGTGAGTGTGTGGGTGAGTGAGTGAGTGTGTGGGTGAGTGAGTGAGTGAGTGAATGAGTGGGTGAGTGATTGGGTGAGTGAGTGGGTGAGTGGGTGAGTGTGTGAGTGAGTGGGTGAGTGGGTGAGTGAGTGGGTGAGTGGGTGAGTGGGTGAGTGAGTGTGTGGGTGAGTGAGTGAGTGGGTGAGTGAGTGAGTGGGTGAGTGAGTAAGTGAGTGGGTGAGTGAGTGAGTGAGTGGGTGGGTGAGTGAGTGAGTGGGTGAGTGAGTGAGTGAGTGGGTGAGTGGGTGAGTGAGTGGGTGAGTGGGTGAGTGGGTGAGTGAGTGAGTGGGTGGGTGGGTGGGTGAGTGAGTGGGTGGGTGAGTGAGTGGGTGGGTGAGTGAGTGAGTGAGTGTGTCAGTGAGTGAGTGAGTGGTGAATGAGTGAATGAGTGGGTGAATGAGTGAGTGAGTGGGTGAGTGAGTGTGTGAGTGGGTGAGTGAGTGGGTGGGTGAGTGAGTGAGTGAGTGGGTGAGTGAGTGAGTGAGTGGGTGAGTGAGTGAGTGAGTGGGTGAATGAGTGAATGAGTGGGTGAATGAGTGAATGAGTGGGTGAGTGGGTGAGTGAGTAAGTGAGTGGGTGAGTGAGTGAGTGAGTGGGTGAGTGAGTGAGTGGGTGAGTGGGTGAGTGAGTGAGTGAGTGGGTGAGTGAGTGAGTGGGTGAGTGAGTGGGTGAGTGGGTGAGTGGGTGGGTGAGTGAGTGAGTGAGTGGGTGAGTGGGTGAGTGGGTGGGTGAGTGAGTGAGTGAGTGGGTGAGTGGGTGGGTGAGTGAGTGAGTGAGTGGGTGAGTGGGTGAGTGGGTGAGTGAGTGAATGAGTGAGTGAGTGAGTGTGTGAGTGAGTGGGTGAGTGTGTGAGTGAGTGGGTGAGTGTGTGAGTGAGTGGGTGAGTGAGTGGGTGAGTGAGTGAGTGGGTGAGAGTGAGTGGGTGAGTGAGTGAGTGTGTGAGTGAGTGAGTGGGTGAGTGAGTGAGTGAGTGGGTGAGTGAGTGGGTGAGTGGGTGAGTGGGTGAGTGAGTGTGTGGGTGAGTGGGTGAGTGAGTGGGTGAGTGAGTGAGTGAGTGGGTGAGTGAGTGAGTGGGTGAGTGAGTGAGTGGGTGAGTGGGTGAGTGAGTGAGTGGGTGAGTGGGTGAGTGAGTGAGTGGGTGAGTGAGTGAGTGAGTGGGTGAGTGAGTGGGTGAGTGAGTGGGTGAGTGGGTGAGTGGGTGGGTGAGTGAGTGAGTGAGTGGGTGAGTGGGTGAGTGAGTGGGTGAGTGGGTGGGTGAGTGAGTGAGTGGGTGAGTGGGTGAGTGGGTGAGTGAGTGAATGAGTGAGTGGGTGAGTGTGTGAGTGAGTGGGTGAGTGTGTGAGTGAGTGGGTGAGTGAGTGGGTGAGTGAGTGAGTGAGTGGGTGAGTGAGTGAGTGGGTGAGAGTGAGTGGGTGAGTGAGTGAGTGGGTGAGTGAGTGAGTGAGTGTGAGTGAGTGAGTGGGTGAGTGAGTGAGTGAGTGGGTGAGTGAGTGAGTGGGTGAGTGAGTGAGTGAGTGGGTGAGTGAGTGAGTGAGTGGGTGAGTGGGTGAGTGGGTGAGTGAGTGTGTGGGTGAGTGGGTGAGTGAGTGGGTGAGTGAGTGAGTGAGTGGGTGAGTGGGTGAGTGAGTGAGTGGGTGAGTGAGTGAGTGGGTGAGTGGGTGAGTGGGTGAGTGAGTGAGTGGGTGAGTGAGTGTGTGGGTGAGTGGGTGAGTGAGTGGGTGAGTGGGTGAGTGAGTGGGTGAGTGGGTGAGTGGGTGGGTGAGTGGGTGAGTGGGTGAGTGGGTGAGTGTGTGAGTGGGTGAGTGGGTGAGTGGGTGAGTGAGTGAGTGAGTGTGTGAGTGGGTGAGTGTGTGAGTGGGTGAGTGTGTGAGTGGGTGAGTGGGTGAGTGAGTGTGTGGGTGAGTGGGTGAGTGAGTGGGTGAGTGGGTGAGTGAGTGGGTGAGTGGGTGAGTGGGTGAGTGGGTGGGTGAGTGGGTGAGTGGGTGAGTGAGTGAGTGGGTGAGTGTGTGAGTGGGTGAGTGTGTGAGTGGGTGAGTGGGTGAGTGAGTGAGTGGGTGGGTGAGTGGGTGAGTGCGTGAGTGGGTGAGTGAGTGTGTGAGTGGGTGAGTGGGTGAGTGGGTGAGTGAGTGAGTGGGTGGGTGAGTGGGTGAGTGGGTGAGTGAGTGTGTGAGTGGGTGAGTGGGTGAGTGAGTGAGTGGGTGAGTGAGTGAGTGGGTGAGTGAGTGAGTGAGTGGGTGAGTGAGTGAGTGGGTGAGTGAGTGAGTGGGTGAGTGAGTGAGTGGGTGAGTGAGTGAGTGGTGAGTGGGTGAGTGAGTGAGTGGGTGAATGAGTGAGTGGGTGAGTGGGTGAGTGAGTGAGTGGTGAGTGGGTGAGTGAGTGAGTGGTGAGTGGGTGAGTGAGTGAGTGGTGAGTGGGTGAGTGAGTACTCACCCAGCATAAGGAAAATCCACCACAGCCAGTACTGGCCGTCAAAGTATCCGGCAAAGTACTCGGAGAACTGCGGAGAGCAGAGAGACAACACAGAGACAAAGGTCCCCCGCGTAGCCTCTAACAGACGTGCTGGGGCAAGTGCTGTTAGACACACAGACACACACACACACACGCACAGACACGCACACACGCAGACACACACGCACACACGCAGACACACACACACACGCAGACACACACACGCAGACACACACACGCAGACGCACACACACACGCAGACACACACACGCAGACACACGCACACACAGACGCACACACACACACGCACACACGCACACACACACACGCAAACACACACACACACACACACGCAAACACACACACACACGCAGACGCACACACACACACGCACGCAGACGCACACACACACACGCACGCAGACACACACACACACACACGCACGCAGACACACACACACACGCAGACACACACACACACACGCAGACACACACGCAGACACACGCAGACACACACAGACGCAGACACACGCAGACACACACACACACACACACAGACACACGCAGACACACGCAAACGCAGACACACGCACACGCAGACACACACACACACAGACATGCACACAGACGCAAACACACACACACACACAGACACACAGACACACACACACACACACAGACACACACACAGACACACACAGACACACACACACAGACACACACACACAGACACACACACACAGACACACACACACAGACACACAAACACACAGACACACACACACACACGCACAGCAGCAGTAGCAGCGTCATCATCAGCATCATCATCATCTTCCAAAGCACCCCGCGAGTCGTGAGGAGTGAGTGAGTTGGTGACTGAGGAGTGAGTGAGTGAATGGGCGAGTGAGTGAGTGGGCGAGTGAGTGAGTTGGTGACTGAGGAGTGAGTGAGTGAATGGGCGAGTGAGTGAGTGGGCGAGTGAGTGAGTTGGTGAGTGGGTGAGTGAGTGGGCGAGTGGGCGAGTGAGTGAGCGAGCGAGTGAGTGGGCGGGCGAGTGAGTGGGCGAGTGAGTGAGTGAGCGAGCGAGTGAGTGGGCGGGCGAGCGAGTGGGCGAGCGAGCGGGCGAGCGAGCGAATGGGCGAGTGAGTGACTGAGGAGTGAGTGGGCGAGTGAGTGAGTGAATGAGTGAGGTGTGAGTGAGTGAGTGGGTGAGTGAGTGGGTGAGTGAGTGGGTGAGTGAGTGAGTGGGCGAGTGAGTGGGCGAGTGACTGAGTGAGTGACTGAGTGAGTGAGTGACTGAGTGAGTGACTGAGTGAGTGAGTGACTGGGTGAGTGAGTGGGCGAG